GGGGGGGAGAGAGCGCTGGGGGTGGAGAGAGCGCTGGGGGGTAGAAATCACTGGGGGGGAGAGAGTGCTGGGGGTGGAGAGAACGATGGGGGGGAAGAGATGACTGGGGGGAAGAGATCACTGGGGGGAAGGGATCACTGGAGGGAAGAGAGCGCTGGGGGGGAAGAGAGCGCTGGGGTTGGAGAGAGCGCTGGGGGGTAGAAAGCACTGGGGGGGAAGAGAGCGCTGGGGGGGGAGAGCGCTGGGGGTGGGAGAGGGCTGGGGGGGTCCCCAGAACCACACACCGCGGAGAGACGCTCGCTCTTGGGAAGGCCGTTTGCAGACACGGCGTTCTTTCCACCCGGCGGCCTGGGGAGGCGGGACGAGGCGGACCGCAGGCGCAGGCAGCCCGGGAACAGCCGGGGGGCCTCGCTCTACCTTCCAACGCGGCCTCCTTCCGCTTCTCCCCGGGGCTCAGCCCCCCCGCCGCCTTCCCTGCGCCTCCTGCACCTGCAGTGTCCGAGTTCAGGGCAGGACAGGTCCCCGCAGCTGGAGAGCCCAGGCCTGGCCCCTGGGTGCCTCCCGTCAGGACACACCGCTGTGGGTGGAAACGCCAACACAAGCCACGGCGTCCGCACCTCATCCCAGGGCTCCTTCCCGCGGATCAGCCCGTTTCTTCCTCCTCCTTTTGAGGAGACAGTGTGTGCGGTGGAGAAATGTGTGTGTGTGAAGAGGGATCAGTTACCAAAAGGAGAGTTACTAGGCCAAGTCCGGAAGAGTTTCTCAGATGTGTCCCGAAGGTTAGTATCACTGCCACACTTGTTCAAAATTCACTTTTTAAAAATTTTTTAACATTTATTCATTTTTGAGAGACAGAGAGAGACAAAGTGTGAGCAGGGGAGGGGCAGAGAGAGAGGGACACAGAATTGAAGCAGGCTCCAGGCTCTGAGCCTGACATGGGGCCCGAACCCACAAACCATGAGATCCAGACTTGAGCCGAAGTCAGATGCTCAACCAATTGAGCCAACCCGGCGCCCCATGAATTCACTCTTTTACCAATGTATTTGCATCTATTAGTTTCCGTGGAGCAGGGCTGCTCAGTAGAAATGCAATGAAAGCCACAATTATATGCCATTATAAGGAATTTTAAGTATTTATATTTAAAAAGTAAAAATAAGTGAAATAAACTTAAATGTATTTTATGTAACTCAATATATCCAAAATATTATTTCCTCCTATATTCTAGCAAAAATTATTATTAACATGTTTACATTTTTTTCACAGAAAGTATTTCTTTTCTAAGTTTTTTTTATTTTGAGAGCTAGAGAGCAGGGAAGGGACAGAGAGAGAGGGAAGAGAGAATCCCAAGCAGCCTCTATGTTGTTAATGCAGAGCCCAACACAGGGCTCGAACTAAAAAACTATGAGATTGTGACCTGAGCCAAAACCAAGAGTCGGACGCTTAACCAACTGAGCCACTCAGGAGCCCCTCATAGAAAATCCTTAAAGCCAGTGTTTATTCTACACAACTCATCTGCATTCAGACCATTCACATTTCAAAGGCCCAATAGCCACATGTGCTTCGCAACTACCATGTTGTGCAACACAGCCTTCCGGAATATGCTTTCTTACCATAATTGGTATTCATTTACAGAAGCCACAGCCAGCGTCCAGTTAGTAGCTGTTACTTCGGCAGGAGATTTCAACCCTGTCTCAGCAGTGACTGTCAAGAGTTAAAACTGTCAGCTTCGAGATTAACAGCTTTGCGCATCTTCAACAATAGTTTTGCTTTTGTAAATTCAACTCACGGAACCACGTGTCATATGCTTTCATCAGATGCAAGAGGTTTTAGACAAAACATTACTTAAAATGTTCTTTAAAACTAACTTATATTGAAGTAGGGCTGAAAACAGGCAGGTTATCCTCAAAAGAGTCACACAACAACCTACATTTTCTGTAATTCACTTGCATGTGGAATGTATTTCCATTTCTCAAGCCGGTAAAATAACTGGACGGTTCTAACGTCTATAGACTATAGATTCCTTCCTGCGCATCAGTACTATTGACTTCTATTTAAGTGTTCCATTTTACAGGTGTTTTAACCGACTAAAAGTGTGAATAAAAGCCAGGCCGTACTACTAGTGGCTGGGGATGACCGACAGAGGGAAGGAAAATTCCCAACAGTCGCTGAGGTTGGATCTCCCAGACGTGGCCCTGGCCTCATGGCTGCTGCGTCCCTGCGAATACTTGGCTGGCCAAGGCCAAACATTGGTGGGAAATCTTAAAGGATAAAGTTAAGAAAGGAATCACTCACTGAAGAAATAGGTACGTTCTATCTTCAGAGAATAAAGTCCTACTGATGAGAAATGAACATGAAATCAATCAGAAAACGAAGATAGGAATAATCTCCAGGTCGCCCTGGCTGAAGACAGTGTAGAAAGGGAAGCCGAGTTCGACTGCAGAAAGAGCCACCATGAGACTCCCTGGATCACTACTTGATCACGGCGGCTCTGATGCTGGCCACTTGCCGCCTCCCACCTGACACAGGGGACCACGCACAGCCCTGCCTGCAGTCTGCTCTCTTTCGTGGCCCAGCTCCAGTCTCTGTCTTTTAAAATTACTGCGTTGCTGCCGTATGAGTACAAGTATTTTATTTGGTTGTGTTAAATCCGAGTTATTTGAGGGGATCTGCCATGGGTTACCATTCACTCTTCCCCTAGGATTTCTAAGCAGAAACTGTAAAGCCTACACAGCAGATTAGCCAAATATTTCATAGCTTGAGGAAGGTTCCCAGTCAGTATAGACAAAGGAGACAGACTCTAGTAGGAAAATGGGTGAAGTTGGTCAAAAAGAAAAAGAAAAAAAGAACTGGGTTTAAAATGATCTTCAATAAAGTATGACTCCTTTTTTATTTTTAAAGAGAAAAAGACTTGGGAGGAGATGACTCAAATTCTCCTAGCAGATATTCTGATTCATTTTATCTGATTAACACTTATATTTATGCCAGGAATTTCTGATACAGATTGAATGCTGGAGGAGAGACAAAGGAAGGAATCGGGGAGATTTATAGGAAACCATTGGTATGTAAAAGCCAACCATGACCTGGAGGAATGGCCAGAGATTCTGGGGGTGGCCTCTGTCCTCCTGTGGGGGGGGGCCTCTGTCCTCCTCGCCACCCCTCCCCCTTTTGGGAGCGTACTGTGGTAAGTAAGCCTCTGTTATACCGGGAAACATTTTGAAAGTACATCAAGATTGTATTTCAGCTTCATGACACAAGGAATTTAAGTCTATTTTGATATTTTCTGAAAATACTCCCTTTGAATAAGCCATTTTAACATACCACCACATTTGCAAAAAGCCACACTCCAATTTAACTGCAAAAGAACACCTTTTCTTTACTGAGCCAACTGCCAAAACATTTGAAAATATTCTCAATTTAAGAGCCTGTTTCTCCCCACAGAAGAATCTGGAGCACAGGCAAGAAGTTTCCAATAATACCCTTCCAAATGGTGTGGAAGTGCCTTTTCAATGCCAGTGACAGGGCAGGGGTTGGAGTCCCGAGCCCCGAAACGGGGACACGGGGAATCAGTGCTTGGAGAAGAGGTTGCTGGGAAACAGACTGGGTGTCAGTTCCACTTTGTCAGGGTGGAACTGCTTGGCCTTCGGTGTGTTAACTTTTCTGAGCCTCCAGTTTCCCTAATTGCAAACTGGAGACCACGATTCTGTGAGAAGGCGCCGGTTCCCGGCCATCACTACACTGCCTGGCACTCAGGACACGCTCCGTAAAACAAGTGGATTTACACAGGTCTACCATCCACATAGACGAAGTGCATCATGGCACGGCCCTCACCAGCTTAAAATCCTAAAATAAGCTCCTTGAAACACAAATAAGTATCAGCCTCCTTACCATTTGTGAGGCTTCTTCTCGAAGATCTGCCTTCATACCCTTTTCTGCTTTGTTCAGCCGCATGCACCTTCTTCTCTCGGGCACATGGTGCGGACCCAATCTGTTCCAGGAAGAAACAGACACTCAGCACAGGAATAAATGCATCCTTCAGGCTGTGAAAATCAAGTATATAATGAGTGAGGACACTGAGGCCCAGTAACTAGTCCTCATCACCCCAGTGAAGGGACAGACGGAGGTTGTGACCCTCTCTCCAAAGGCCCCACGGTCCTTGTACAGAGAGGCGGGTCTACCATGAGGCCGGGGAGCAATCAGCTTGAGGAAGGGCCACAGCAGCAGGGTCAGAGACCCCACTGGCCTTTAACAAACCAGGTATTTTACCTGAAGTTGGTCAAGACCAGTGACTCTTTCAACTGTGGCTTCCCTTCATTACAGCTTCAGAATTCATGGGTAAGATGCCACATAAGGGGCACCTGGGCGGCTCTGCTGATCGAGCATGAGGCTTGCTCTTGGTTTCGAGTAGGTCACAGTCTCATGGCTCCTGGGATCGAGCCCAGCATTGCTCTCTGTGCTGACAGTGCAGAGCCTGCTTGGGACTCTCTCTCCCTCTCTCTGCCCCTCCCCTGCTCACATTCTCTCTCTCAAAATAAACTTTCAAAGTAAAATAATAATAATTAATAATATCATGTCAGTTGTAGAACGAACGTCAAATTTAGGGAAACCACCACCGAGGTTCTTCCTGTAGCAGCTGCAGGCCGGGGGGCCCCGGGGAGGTCACTGCCTCACACACTCAGAGGTGTGACTGCTGGAAGCCCTTTGCACACCGAGATGAAGTAATGCAGGTAAAAACAGAAGCGACTGCACACCACAAATACGTCCTCCCAGCCCCAAACTAAACGCATCCTCCGATTTCCCTCATCTCGGTTCTAAAGCCACCAACAGTCCTAAAAACACCACGTGACACGGGGTCAATGAAGCAGGAGAAGTCGGAGTAGAGACAGTGGTCTGAATGGATGACTGCATAAATATCTTAATTTTGCAGAATTAAAAAAAGAAAATATGTTAACATGGCTATGACCCCCTTCCAAGTTTTTAAAAGGGCATTTGTACTTCTCAACCATGCTAAAACTGAAGAGGAATTCGCTTTCCATTTTCTCTAGAGGAAGCAATATCACAAAACTCTTACACTGGGAAAATGTAATCAGAGCGGAGGCAGCCAAAAGTGCAGGTAAATAAGAAAGATATTACTACTATTTCCTGGATTTGTTTACCTGTAGAAGCCTATTAAAATTTGTAACTTGTGATTTACTTTTGTTCCCAGTAAATATTCACTTCACTCTCTTCCCTAGTTCTGGGTGTGTAATTTGAGCTGTATGAATTTCAGGCCCCACTGGACCTGGATCCATGCTGCGAGTCCAGTACGCTACTGTTACCTGTAGTTCAAGGTCACTGGATACATACAGCTGCAGGATCCTCAGACTGCCCTGACCTCTTCCCCCAAGTTTTGGCTAATGCAAGAGTAAAAGAATTCCTAGAGGGAGGGTGTGTCTGTGTGTGCCCCGAGCTTCCTGTGAATGGGTGAGAATGGAAAGGAAAACCTGAGGGCCATCAGTCGGAGGTGGGTACCAAAAACACATCCCACTTCTACATACGACATCATGTTGAAACTTCATATTGTCAGCTTCAGAAATTTAGTTCCGAGGATACATTTCTTGGTAACTGGTTTGGCTTCTATAGAGCCAAGTAGGTAAGCAATGAACGGAAACTTGAATTAAACTCTGTAACTCTTCGTAAGTCTCCTGGAGTGAGATTGAAGGCTCCCCTTCCTGCCTCAAGGGCTTAGCTTGATTTATATAAAACTTGCTATACCCATCCTGCAGAATTTCTGGACTATTTTTCAGAATTCTTCCTGAGAAGATAGTAAGTGTGCCATTCCTAGGAGTTAACAGTGCTTAAGGTTCTGCACATGGTGATTCCTTTAAAAACATACTCTTTACGTAAGTGTTTAATATTCCAAATAAAATAACCTTTATGCATAATAATTCTACAGGTAGCAAAAAGTGTTTTAAGGTTTTCTACTGGAAAAAAACTGTGTGTTTTTCAATAGGAAAATCTTCAAAATATGCTTAAACTTATCTAAAGATTTAATAAACTTTTGTTATGCAAGTGTCCCTTGAACATCTTCTTCATAATAATACTATCTTGATTTATGTAGTGAATTCCTTTTCAAGATCTCAGACATAAGACCATACTAGAAATATCAAAGCACTGTGTACTTGAAAGTCAGAAGTCAGACAAGATTCCATTAGCTCCATTATCACCATATAAGACAGAAGAAAGGATGGATGGAGCTCATACATTCCATCAATTATTTCACAGGTTGCTGTGGCCCGTAATGTGGCATCTGTCCAAACTCTAAGTTGTTATAACTGGGAATAATTTACCACAATATGTATGTATTTAACTTTGGCAACCTAAGAAAATGTCTTACTACATTTTGTATATCATTTGTCCCAGAGATGGGCTTTAATGCAAAAGAGAATCCAAGATCCTCAATGGGAAGGGAAGTCATGCTCTTGGCTTGTATACAGTGAGGGAAAAGAGATGCAAGCATGCACACAAAAACATTCGGGAGGGGGGAGGGAGAAGAGGGCGGAGGAGGGGAGGGAGAGAGAGACAGAGAGAGAAAGAGAGAGAGAAAGAGAGGCTGATTCTAGCTTGGGAAGTAGTGACCCTTTTAGGCTGTGGTTTTGTGTGTTGACCAGGGGCCCCTATGTATATTTCTGGAAGAATAGTAGAATCTCATATTTGGTGGGTTCTAAACAATCCTTCACAGAATAAATAGATGAGGGAAATAAAAAGTTAAGAACTTAAACAGAACAGAGCCACAAAACTCTGCCTATCCCACGAGGAGTCTTTTTCTTTCGAATAAGGATCCAGTCATCAGTTCCTTTTTGAAAGTAATATTTAAACAGTTCTATATCTTCCTAAATATACTGCTACAGAGCTCACGTATGTCAATTATATTCATCAGAACACCATCAAAGACATTATGAAATCCTTTGGAAAACACCAGCTCTTCTCTTCCGTGAAGTTCTCTGGACTGATTAGTCCAGTAACTAACAGGAGGCCTCAGAGCGCTCACCTTTCCTGCAGCCCAGCTGCTGACGCCTAGCAGTACCGGGACTGGAGGGGGGCTGGCAGCGCCTTCAGGACTCAGAGCACCTTGAACGTGAAAGTGCCCATCTTTACAAAATCCCAGTTACCCGGAAGACTTGTCCCTCCCTAGATTCCCTGTCCCACCATTTTCCCACTGATAGGATACAGATACCCTGTTAGCCTTCCACTGCCTGTAAGAATAGCGATGTTTGATAAAGCGCTAGAATTCACCTGAGCCAGAAAGAAGGCACGGTGATGGACACGTGTGACCCTGGACCCGTAGGCTTTGTGCTGGACGGCGGCATATGAGGACCCATGTTCCTGCCCTCCACGGTTTCGTAACAGCGTTCTTTCACTTTCTCAAGTACTTAATTTTTTGAATAAAATTAATACACATACATACTAAATTTCCATATTTAAGCAGTGAAAATTACTAAAGGTAGTGGGGGGGGGGCACGTAGAGTGAAGATCCTATCTCCCAGGGCCTGTCTCTCCCCCTAACACACCAATTTCCGTTTCCCTATGCTGGGCACCCACTTATGTATGAATCTTCTCTTTTTCTACAGCAGTAGAAACAGACTCTAAATATTATTTAGCACACTGCTTGCTAATAATAAATCCTAGGGTTCGTGCTACATAAAAATATAAACAGCAGCTCATTCCATTAGCTCTGAGCTTTAATTAGCTTTTAATTCCCCTAGCTTGAGAGCAATGATGTAGAGCATATTCCGTGATTTACTGAATCAAACCCCCTACTGATGGATAGTTAAGGTTTTTTCCCCTAATAGTTTGTATATATAAGTTCATATTCTCATATTCAGTATTTTTAAATGTGGTAATTTCTGAAAGCCACTTTTTAAAATAATGTTTGTGCCAAAACTCATTTGGCCACAAAATTGAATCTTTACTGGTAAGAGGCACCATCTGTGTCTCTGTGCTCACAAGAATCACATGGGTCTCAGTTTGCTGACATTTGTGATGCATGGATTATTAGCTCTTACATACTGAAACAGATTACTTGGTAATTCTTAGTCTTTAACATTTTCTTACGTTTTGGCTTGTTTTAATTAAGCTGTGAAAATGCTTTTCGAAATAAGTCTACTGTTCAGATGGCGACAGTTACAATCAGAAAATAATGAGTGAAGCATTAATCAGGTGGTTCCCCTTCACTCTGTGACAACGATGAGAAAGAACTAAGGAAACAGAAAAACACACTGCTCAGGGTTTGGGGGGAAGCAAAGGTCATAACCCTGCACTCATCATATGGATGCAACAGTAACAGGTGAATGTATGCCAGCAACTGGTTGGTGGCTCATGCCTCCAGCCGGAAGTGACCGTGAAGAAATGAACAACCACAGTGAATAAGAAGCACCGTGGTGAAATTCATCTGAGAATCTATAGTGAGAAGGCTACCTTGACAAATTTCCTAAGACAATGCTTAATGAGAAATGCAGTCTTAAACCAAAAAACCCCACAACATTGTTATTCATGAATGAGTACATTTTTGCCCAATGTGACATCTGTTATATGCCCTTCTATTTTACGATGGGCACATATAACTGTATTTGAAAGTATAGGCTGCTGTAATGAACACAAGTTGAAGAATCCAAGATTCCCAAAAGCACTGGGTTTGTAAGACACCAATTATACTATTGCTAATGTTTAGAATTATGTTGATAAACCTACATTAACAAATGCTTGGGACAGCCATCAGGCTAGCAATGACATTTGAAAAGCTCTCTTGGTGTAGAGTTTAAATGATCCTTTTACAAAATGAGAGATGATATTACCCCTCATCAATGAGATACAAGTAATTCAGCCAAGAGTATAGAAAAGTTAGATGAAGTTCCACATATGAGTGAAAACATATGCTATCTGCCTTTCTCTGACTGATTTATATCAGCTAGCATAAAAAAGGAACTTAACAGAAGACCATGAGGGAGG